CCAACAAAATGCAGCACTTAAAAGGCACCGTGAAAGGCATTACCAGGTGATTATGAAACAAGTCCAAGCCCCCCCTTAAACACAGGTCAGGCGAGCAAACGGGGGCCACAGCAAACGGGGGCCAGCTTGGGACAAACTCCGCACAAACCCCGGCAATTCAAAATGCACAAGGGCCAAAAAAACGAGAGCAGCGGGGCCGCGATCGCACACTGTCCGCCAAACCACTGTCAGGACGGCCCCTCAGAGGCACGCCCCCCCCCCAAAAAAAAGGACACTGGCCAATCATGCTCCTGCCTCAGAACCGTCCGAGGTCAGAGACATACAGAGTTCAGGGAACAGCATGGGTGCCTGAACACGTTTGTATGGAATCAGCCAATATTAACGCAGCCGAAGCTGGATTTTTAAACTAAACTCACTAACTTCTCCGGCATGTTTCTGTGGGAACAGGCGTGTATTAAACACAGAAGCAGATGGCATTCCACACCACAGCTGCACTGAGGAATTTAATCAGTTACATATAACCCAGGTAAGTACAGCTGCAATTGGGGGGGGGGGATTAATTACTGTAAAAAGTCTCAGAAAAAAATTAAAACAATATCAGACGCTTACACTCTCCCGAGCGAACAGATCGCAGACAGCCCCCCCCACGATGTAACGCCGCCCTCTCTAAAGGCCTGTCTTCACAATCACAGCCCTGCCGCTCACAGCCCCATCTGCCCTGCTGAGGTTGACAACAGTGTGGCATCCGACAGCCACTGCCACCCCCCAACATGGGTGATTACTGCCACAGAAACATGTATGGGACCTGGGGGCATTCCCCACCCCCCGATCTGGGAGACCAGGTCCAAAACAGGAACACCCCCCAGGATCACGTACTGGAAAAATGTCCCGATTGAACTGAGGGAGGGTGAATACAGCGCTGGGTCAGACCAGTCGCTCTGTCAAAAACGAACAGGAAGGACGGCTGATTGCGGGGGACAACAAACGGCACCCCCTCTTACGCGTCGCAATCAAGCAGGAGGGGAATCCAACAAAGACGCATCAGAATGGATTTGGTGGGGGGGGGGGGGGGGGGGGCAGTGGAGCATTCAGAAAGGACTGTCTGTAAACAAACGAGTGCAGATTCACACGGCCGGCTCTATTTATAGCTGACTGGATCTCACCAGCAAAGAGGGGCGGCCGTGTGTCAGAGGGACCCTTCCTGCTCCCAGGGCCACTGCCTTCCACTGCTCTCCGGGAGGGGCAAGCAAGCCCCCACGCGGGCATTGGGGGAGGGTCAGCATTCCGGTCTAAGAGGTGACACAGACCTGGCAGCTCCACCTTCCCAGTCACTCCTCACTCAGGGAGGGGGGTCGGGTGACAGGTCTGGGGGCTAATGGAACGGGAAGTTCATGGTGTCTGCCAAGGCTGCTGTCTGCGCGCTTTTGGCAGTTTATACCCATGAGCCCAGAGTTCTAATGAACAGGCTTAGCTGAAGGGGGTGTGATGTTCAAAGGGAAACCTGACCCCCCCCCCCCCTCCGCCCCCTCGCGCAGGTCCCGGCCCCCGGATGTCGAGCCTCTCCATGTTCGGTGCTCTTCATTTCAGAGCGGCCCTGTTTGTCTGAGGGCCGCGGTGCCACTCCAGCGGAGCCCCACACCACCCCAGGTGTTTACGAGAAGACCGGCAGGGCGGGGGGTGGGGGGGGGCTCTAGGACAGCAGCCAGGAGTCATCTGTCCCTTTAAAAAAAGCCTCAGAAACGAATAACAGCCCAGCGGGTCCCAGGTCAGAGGGATCGCCGTCGCTCCAGCTGGCTCAGCGGGTCCCTGGTGCGGGCATCAGGCCAGCCTGGCCCCCCCCACCCGCCTACCCACCTGTGCTAAGCCCAAAGCAGGTCAGCAACACTCACCCATGGGAAAACATAACACTCGCCGACCCATAATAGCCTGACTCTACCTCCCCTGGCCCAGTAAACCACAACTCTGGCCAACATAAGGAGCACTGCCTCTCGCTGCCTCGCCGTGCCTCTCGCTGCCTCGCCATGCCTCTCGCTGCCTCGCCATGCCTCTCGCTGCCTCCGCCTGCCTCTCGCTGCCTCCGCCTGCCTCTCGCTGCCTCCGCCTGCCTCTCGCTGCACCAGCATGGGTTACGCCATGATCCCACAGTAATGAAATGGCCCTAAAGGTACACCCCACGACCTCAATACAGCAAGATGAATTTGCCGGAAATCCTTTCCACATGCCGGCACTGAGAGCAGTGAGGGGTAGGTCAATGCACAAAGTGCAGCTCCAGTCAGAATAAAATGAGGGGTCAAAAAACAGGCAGCATTTTTATAAAATCCACATGACGAGCCCCAGAATGGGTGTAATGATTCAGCCAGATCCCCTAACGGGGGCCATGGTGCACGCAAGGCTGTGACAATTCCCCTAAAACACAGCTGACAAGGGAGGAACTCAGGACACGTGATAGGCTGAATCTGGACACATGACTTAAAGCAGGAATGTATGTGAGCAGATGATTGGCTGCCCCAAGGTGGTGACCCTACGGTGGACCCAGTGTCGGTCAGATGGAGCAGAGCCCCCAACAACATGCTGGCTCAGGGAGCCCCGGGGGTCAGACTTGTGGGCTGAGAGGTCAGATTACCGAGGCAGTCAAACCCCCCCCCCCCCCCAATGCCCTCAACAGAAGGGCGCTTCCTGGAAAGGCCCCACCACTGCACCCCCCCCTAGGCTGAGTGTAAACAGCTAACTCTGAGTTAACTATTAGACCAGGTGAAAACAGGCCCCCAGCGGCCCACCTGATTTGGGCCCAGACTGGAGGGAGGGTGGCTAGGCCCCCCCTCATGGGCACTCTGACCTCGCAGGGGTGGGGGCTGAGGCAGGAGCCCAGCGGCTCTGCTCCTCGCCAACGCAGCAAAGCGCAGGCAGAGCAGATGGCGTGACGGACCTACCCCCGCCCCACCAGGGCTAATTGTAAGGGCTCTGACAGGTTCCTCTACGTCTCACACGATAAATAAGCAGGACCTACCGGAGGTCCGAGGTCCACAGGACACATACAACAAAAGGGGGCGAAAGCAGCCAATCGGCACAGGGCGGCCCGAGTGTGTGAAGCGCTTATAAAAGGGGCTGTGGAGCCGTGCAGGAATCCCATCAGCGAGGGGCGGAGGAGCTGCAGCCGATTCCCTGCCCTCATTATTCCACCCTCCCCGGGTATCTAAATGCCATCTGCATCGCAGAGAAAGGCCTCGCTGGACAGGCTTGGGGGGGCGGCAGCTCCAGGGTCTCATGCCCGTCACGTTTCCAAAGGAGGAACCGCAACATGTTTTCATCGCCCCCATGAGCGGCACGGCACCACCCACACCCAACCGCAGAGATTCAGACACATGTGGGCCACCTTAGTCAT